TATAGTCTGCTGTACAAGTGTACAAACCCTTTGTATATATCTGTATTATTTATGTGTTCATTATCCATCAAACAAACCAGCGTCACATTTGATAGTGCCTTACCTGAGTTGTTATGTGTACTATATAGTCTTATGTACAAGTGGACAAACCCTTTGTATATATCTGTATTATTTATGTGTTCATTATCCATCAAACAAACCAACGTCACATTTGATAGTGCCTTACCTGAGTTGTTATGTGTACTGTTTAGTCTTATGTACAAGTGGACAAACCCTTTGTATATATCTGTATTATTTATGTGTTCATTATCCATCAAACAAACCAACGTCACATTTGATAGTGCCTTACCTGACTTGTTATGTGTACTGTATAGTCTGCTATAGAAGCAGACAAACCTTGCTTATTTATCTATATTATTTATAAGTTCATTCATTATCTATCAAACAAAGCAGTGTTGCATTTGATAGTGCCTTGCCTGAGTTAATTCACGATCGTTGATAGGATATTTTTTCGCAAATATATGCTTCAGATAATTAAACATTTTGATGTTTAAAATACGCCTTCTTTTATAGTTACAATATCAACTCCAAACAGGATGTATTAAATTTCAGAATGAAGAAATTATAGAATCAAAAATAGCCTCATGATACATGTAATTCATATAGTTTAACCAAAGTAGTTTTTATGATAATTATTTGTTTATCCTTCCCATCATCTTCATTGAAAGTCAAATTACATAATGTATTAGGTAATAAGATAAGTTTTGTAATATCCGTTTTTTGTTTACACATACATATATATACTCAACTAACCAAACCACTATATTTTTCTTATTATTAAATACAGTTATTAAGTTTTTAATTTGCGTTAGTTTTTGCTACTGTTTCAATGAATCGTTAAAATGTAAATGATTTAGGTAATACATAAGAGGTTAGGCACAAAGAAACTGGTATATTTACTGTCTTACTTTCGATTTTCCTACTACAATAGTCCAAACAAACAAATCATTCAGACTCAGAGTCGTCGAACAAACAAGAAAAATCAGACATTCAAATCAATCCTCATGCCTACGAACCTGCACCAGAAGCTGAAATGGACTACTTTGAACTGTTCCCGCGAAAAAGTAAGTTATTTTCAAATGTTTTTCTAGTACTTTTACAAATTTAGTGTAATATTTTTAAATAATAATAATATACATGCTTACCAAAGAAAAAATATTTCGCGAAACTTATATGAATGGAAAAGTAAGTTGATTAAAACAATGTTCCATTTTTATCAAAGCGTTGAACAAGAGTTATGGACATTGGAAAATAATAACTTTGCGTTAACTGTTCATTTTTATTGCATTTTTATTTAGGTTTTACTTCTGTTATCCTATGTTTATATGATGTTTACTTCTCAAACCGTATGTTTCTTATCATATTTACCTCTCTAATTGTATCCTTATATTATATTTACCCCTTTGACTGTATGTTTATAATATATTTACCCCCTCTGACTGTACGTTTATATGATCTTTATACCTCACTCGCCTTGTGTTTCTATGATATTGTTATAATATTTTTTATCGTTGGGAGGGTTCATTTGGATTATTTGGTAAAAATATGGCTAAGTCCAGTTAACGTAACGATAACTAATTAATTTATCTCTTCAATGGCGTTTGCTACAGGCTATGCTCGCTTTGATGCAAATTGGAGACCCAATATACTAACAACGTTAAACAAACATTTCCTTGATGGATAACAAATACTAACTAACTGATTAATTTTCAGAAGCACTAACTCTTACTGAATAACTTTAGTTGGTCAATATTCTCCCGATTCTTCTACTCTGAATACTTCACTGAATTCGAAATATCTGGACTAATTGCTTCTTCATTACTCATTACTCCTATTTATAACTAATCTATCAATCTAGGTATTAATCGAAGTTTCTCGATCATTACTTTATCATCACGATTAGCAGTTTCCTCTAGCAAACATCTAAATTAAAACATTAAAAGTATAGCTTACAGCAATACTTGTCTTTTTATATTCTTTAGTATTTCGATTACCACATCAAACAACTGTAGAATGCATATAAAAATGTAGCAAATTTCTTAATGGATCATATTAGCTGTTTCTAACAACTTATGTTCTACTTGAATTCAATCTTATAGAAATGCGATGGTTAGAGTTGTTTTTTGTTTTGTTTTTCACTAGAAAAGATGTTTTCTTCGTCGAGTTTCTATGAAGACCCTAATGCCATCTATCCTACTGTAGAAGAACAAGTTCGACTCTGCAGGAAGATTGCGGGATCACTTTCTTCTGAGACAAACAAGAAGTCCAGGGGAGCCAACATGTTTTTCAAACGTGTGAAACGTTCCCAAAAATGGATACATGAAGGTAAGGACGCGTCTGTTTTCAGAAGTCTATTTTTATAAGTAAATTTTTATCCTAACTGCAAAGAATAATTAGAAAGAACTCTTTCTAATTTGGAAAATGTTGGTCCCAATCTTTATTTATGAGCCGAAACATTCCGTTTGACAATTTAAGATATGATAATGTAGACATTTACATCAGCAACCTTTTCAGTTGTACAAAAGATAATAATTTTGCATTAGTATAGAGGCATAAAGAGATGCTAATTTTACTTTTTTATAATTCGGAAATAATATATCTTTATTTAGAAATATTCAGGTAAATTGTTCAGTATTTTGCGCTGCTGTTCTACTTTTAGTTAGTAGACGTCCCTTTAAACAGGATGTGAAATGTGTTAACCTGCGCTAATTCTCTAGCTTAGATAAAGGTTAAATACTTGACCCATTCTGTGTCATATACTCCAAGAATGAGACCGTATTTATTTCAGGGGGTGGTGCAGAGATTTTTGATAAGATTTGTAGTTTTATCTTCCGTGAATATTTGTAGTGAGAATGATCGTTGACATAAGTAATCTAGAATTGTGGGATATCGCATCAAGAACTATCTTTCTGACTTAACAATGTGGTACATCATTATTCCTGTTTTTATCTTCGTCTCGTGCAGACTTGCTTTCTTCAGCTTCAATAACCAGAAATTTTCTAAATAACAAACACAGAAGCCGGCCAGCGCTGTAAAGGGCTCCATTGTTTAATTTGATGACACTACGAACATTGGTCGTACAAATAAAGATTTTTCAAGTTTGGTATCAATTAAGTTCAGTTTGAACTTAATTAAATCAAACAAGTATAAAGCAAAGACCATCAGTATTAACTATTATAGTTATATTATGACGAAGTAAATTACAGTTACAACTTACATGATGAAATCAGTATAATATTTAAGACTAGTGATTGGGTAATAAGCCACAGTGTAGAGTGAAGCAACAAGACGTCTGGTGGTGGTAAAGGTGTGATTAGGTAACAAAACATGAAAATGTTAAGATTATTACCGGTACGTAATAGAATTGGTCAAACCGGTACATTCGCTTATGAGTCTTCGACAATGAATTAATTACGTCATTACAGTTATTTCAGGGACGACGTTAGCAACAGAACGGGGCTAACTACATCTTTAATTATACGAGTTCTTTCGCTTGTTATATACGTATTCATATCAAGAGGGTGTATGCCACGTTATAGTAGTGGATGAAGTGTTCCTAGAAACGGGCGTAGTAAAAAAAAAGTGTATATATATATATATATATATATAGTAGATGACGTA